TCCGTTTGATTTGGAATAAATCTCATAAAAAATATCAAATCCGAGAAATTTATTTTCTACTTTAACAGTTTGATACGAAAGTAGAAATAAAGTTTGAATTCCAATGCTCAAACATTTAAAACATGTTTTTGGCCAATTTCTTGAAAAACACATTCCTATGATTTTGGTGATTTTTTCTTTTCCAACTAACATGAAATTGGTTTGCTTTTTCCAGATTTACAATCAAACAGACTCTAATAAAATTATCATTTGCTTAACATCCAATAAGAGACGTCCCAATCAAATTAGTTTCATTTTATCCTAGGACCTTATTGGTTTCAACAACAATTCATCGACATTCTTAAATAGTAAAGATATGTTCAATGCTGCTACGATCAGATTCGAGAATTTCCATGATCCATACTAGAAACATATAGCTAGGGATGTCTTATACAAATTTTATCTTGTTAATTCGTAATTTTGCTACATAGTAAATATTTTCATGCTAGGCTACCCGGCCGCGTTGTAAATCTTCGAGAAGGGCTTCACACACTTGAATATTTACATGAATATTCTGAACTTTGAAGGTGGAGAAACCTTTCGAGGAACTTGAGAAATCAAATTAAGTTTCTGTTGGATATTGGTTAAATAAATTGAGAATTGAAAATCGATTAAAGTTCGTATCGAATTCGGCCAAATACTCAAAAGCTCGACTCAATCCGTTTAGGCAAAATTGTTTGCCACTTCGCCGCTTCGGGGCGCACAAACGGGGATCGACCTGCCCGGTCAGGTCGCGAGGGTCGAGGGGGCAGCGCCCCCGAAAGAGAATTTTGATTTCTCTGCATGTATTGAAGGGTATATTTGGCATTTCGAAAACCAATATCGGATGAATGAGAAATTACGAAAAAGACCTCAACCATTAGTGAATAGACACCTTTTCATAAAGGTGCATTGTTTGGAAAGGGTGCATGGTTTGGCCTCAACCATTTCGTCCACACCCCTTCATGGTCTATAAATAGGACCCTTTGGGTGTCCTATTCCTCACAATTTGATATGCAAAAACGTCTCTCATCCTCTCTTCTATCCAAAATCAAAATCATTTCATTTATTTTGATTTTCTTTCATTTCATCTGTGGAGTACATAAGCCTACATTTGGTTCGTTGTACTTGTGTTTTGGAGTGCTACAAACACAAGTGTAGCCGTTGTATCTTGGGAGTCGATTGCCGAAATCCGTAGGCACCGTTGCGGGGCAAATTCGACTTAAGGACAAAGAGTCCAACTCTTGCCTCGGCTTTGTCACCATCATTATACTTATTTCGACGTCACTATTCACAAAATTCTTCCAACAGTTTCAAGGCACATTACTGAGCCAATTTTTTTTAAGACATTATTTGCCTCCGTTACGATATGATATACAATATGACAAAACATGTTATCTGCATTGTACATAAACGAAGATAAACTCAAACGTGAAGAATTGATAACTTATATAAGAGATGAATCTTATAATTATTCCGTCTATGTAGATTAATAGTTTAAACCGATATTTGAAAATAAAACGAATGCAAGAAAAGAATTTGGGAGCTAGGAAGACAAGAATGTGAGAATATCACTAATTTCATATCTATTAGACTTGTGTTCTTCAATGAAGAAACCAAATCTTATTTATAACTCTTCAAAAAGTTGCAAACTTTTAAAACGAACGGTGAGTTCTCAATTCGAACTTAGAAAATCGAATACATCTAAAGAAACTCAAAAATGGAGGAAACATTGATCAAATATCGAACAGACACCAAGCTCCTATGCTTGCTGGTGTGTTACCGCTACTAAGATAGCTCCTTGGAGATGGTGACTCCATACAACAAAGGGAAATGAAGCCTTAACTTGGCATTTCGCACCATAACTTTTTCTCGGAGACAGATTCCAAATTATGTAAAGTCATTCTTTTGTAAATATTCTCCTTTCTAACACGGAGTACATTAACATAGTGTTAGTCTCACCACAGTAACTCAAAAGGAGAAAATACTTATAATCACAAAATCATAATTAACTCAAGATTAAGAGTGATCCATGAGATTTAATGAATTGTTATGGAAACATAATAAAACTCCTTTTTTTGTGGAAATTAAAATCAAAATTTTAATCTAAATCAAATTCAACAATTAATTTAGTCACATATTTTACAGATTCCACAACTTTTGAACTACATATTTGATTAACTTTTATCAAAATCTATTAAAAATTTGATTTTTAATCCCCACCAAATAGGGACAACATCTCATGATCACATTCAATATAGCCAAATCATATGTGTTTGTATCCTTGGTCTAGACGAGCGAATTCATTAAGAAACTACACTTCAAATCTAGTGTTCTCATTTTTATTTATCTAGCGCGAACAAGTTTATTTTGTGTCTACGTCTATTGTGAATACCATTAAACTTCACATAAATACATATAGTCCTTGTTTGGGCTTCATTTTAATGAGATTTTGGGAAAAATGTATTTTGAAAAAATAGTAAATTTTTGAAGAATACATGATTAAAAAATAAGAAAAGGTTTTGAATTATCGTGTAATTTTATTTTATTGAAAAATGTTTAGTTAAAAATGAAGAGAAAATGCATTAAATTAAAATGGAGCTCATACAGGGGCATATATTGTAATTAAGCCCCTATTTGATTACCATTATTTGATTTTTATTTATTTTTTTTATTTTTACATATTCATTTTTAATCATACATTCACACAATAAAACATTTTACACGTTAACTCCAAAATTTACCTACGTGTTAACCACACGTTCTTTAAAAAATCATTATTCAAACCATTATTATTTTTTTTTTTTCCAAATAATGGCCATAGGGGCTGAATTGAACATCTATTCAAAAACACATGCATGAGTAAATTTATTTTATTATCCTCCACACACACATAAACACATATAGTAATGATCTCCTTGGAGAAGCAGACGACATGTTTCGCACGTCAAATTAAATATGAATATATAGTATATTTAGATATCTATAATCTCTTAATTAATTGTTTACAAATTAGAAACTAGTTCTTGTCTATTTGACTAACAAAAATTCAAAGTTTAGTTGAAAAAACTATTATTATCTTATATTATTTGTTTCAAAAAGAAAAAAAAACAATTTTCTTCCCATAATTTGAATGTTGGTAGAATGCAATTTTAATGAATTTTCTGTTTCCAGATTTGCCTACCTAATCAATACTGTTGCTCCATTTCTACTCTTACAAATAGAACTGCTCAAGAAAAGAAAGGGGTGGGGAAGTTAATTAGATTAAAAGTAATATTGCGTTTCCTCGTCCTTACGAGAGCATCTCAATTGTAACCGTGGGTTGTTTTAAAGATTGTGACACAAGTAAAAATAGACTGCGTTTAAAAAAATAACTATCCAATGCGAGCAACATAGTGCTTGTTTGATAGGGATTTTGATAATTGATTTTTTGATCATTAGAGAGAAGGTAAGTCCTACTCATTAGAGAAAAATTCAAAAATGACGATTGAAATAGTTAAATAATAATAAAAAAATTAATTTTAATCGACTTTTAAATCCTACCAAACAAGCTTATAATAGAGAACAAAATACACAATGCATAAACGTTAAAGTGATTCATACATGTCAGTTTTGTCAAATTACAATGCCCTACCTAGTGATCTATGCCATTGCCTTGTTTGGAGAGATTTAGTTTGTTAATGAGTTTGGCAATGATGAGTCATCATATGCCTTGGTTATAGCTTGTACCATATGTCATCATTACCCTTTCAATCTTTCTTGATTGGTTGTAATTGATGACGCGGACATTATACGAGAACATTTCTAGTATCATCGTAATAGTGTTTTCAGATAACGTTTCTTATGGGTCGACCTGCTTGGATGGATCTCCTATTGCACCTCTAGTGTTGAGTTGTCATTCCCTTTCTTCACAAATAAATTATTTCGATTGCTTCGAAGAGAGCCCTCAATAATTTAACGTGACACTTTCAAATTATACATCAACACAACCGATTAAGAAGTACTCTTTGTGATTTTGATCTAGAATATGTTCCTATCTATTGACTAAGTAAATAACTATCAAGAATAGAGTAATCTTTTACTTTGATAATGCCCACCTTTTTGAAGAAAGGAGAATAGGAATGAAATAAATTTGAAAAAATAGAATTGTTAAAAAGAGATATTCTTTATTCTTCCTTTCCTATATATACCTATTTTATTTAGAGATAGAGAGAATTCAAGTCATGTTGCATGAACTAATGCAATGCCTAATTCTTTTTTCATAATAAAATATGTTGTCAAAATAACTATCAAATATTCCTAAAAATACTCTTTTTTCTTTCCATTATAAAATAATTAATTTCAAAAGCACTTAAATTTATTAGAAAAACTTATTTTTCATATAAATAGCAAACATAATTTCATTGGTCTAATTCGATACATTAGGATAAGAGTTTGAATATATATCTATCCTAAATTCTTTTGTGGATCCTTTCAACCAAAAAAAAAAAAAAGAAAAGAAAACAGGCCCCTCAGGGCACATCCAAGTTGGCGGAACAATCACATTGGGGGGCTCTGAAACCAAGCGTGGGGAGTTCGATTCCTGGTGGGAACCTTTGATCCAATAAAGGAGGAATTATTGGTGGATTAATCACCATGAAGGAGACTTCTTTTGGGGAAGGAGTAAAAGTCATGTGAGAACCTGGGAACCAACAAGGGCACATCCTGCGATTTACTTCCCTGAGCAGTTGAGGGGCCGAAGGTTCAGGGACGAGGATATATAGTCTGGCGCAAGTTGGGACACCTCGGTAAAAAAAGAAAAAAAAGAAAACAGAATTCCTTTCTTTACCCAGCACCGAAGTAGAAAATAAATATTGCATAAAAATTGATTTTCATTTTTCTATTGCCATTTTTCGTTAGGAAAAATAAAGGGAAAAAAATAAAACTTTCCATTTACTAATAAATCGAAACATATTCAGTTTATATTTGTTTCAAAATTGAAAGGAAAATAACAACTAATAAAGTAGCACAAACCAACTGCAATCACCATGGACGGTTGGTCCGAGAAAATGGACATCTCTACCTAATTGCATTTTATCAATTCTTGAAGCAAACGACGACGTCGCATTCTTGCTTCGGATCTCATCTTTCCTCTTCCATTTCTGGTCTGAGCTCATTTTTTCTTATATATTCCCTCCCTGTCCCGATTCTTCTCCAGTTCGATTCTATATACTTGTATACTTGCATTTCATACGCGCTCATTCAGTTTATCGATGAGAATTATTTAGATTCACAAATTTTGGATCGTTGATTTATTGGGTTTGAGGTTATGGCGGTGGCTCCTGGACCTGTGACCCCTGGGCAGGTTGGTTTCTGCTAATATTTTTCATTATTATTTATTTTCTGTTTTAAAATTTTTTTTAACCCATTTTTTTTTTGTAATGTGGATGAAAAGTGAAGTTGTTGGGTTACTGATTTTCCTTTTACACGGATCATTTGGATACGGTATTGTAATAGATCTTTGGAGTTGGACGAAATTCATTTTGTTTTTGGCTTGCATTTAGGGCCCGTTTGGCGTAATTTTTGAGAAGTCAAAAGGAGTTTTTGAGACAAAAGCGGCTTTTGAATCCTTTTGGCTAATTTTATGAAACTACTTTTAGTTAGAATAGGTTCAAGAGGAAGCTGATCAATATTGCTTTGTCTATTCCAGAAGAGGAAACTCTTTTTGAAATTAGTTTCCAAGAAAAAATTAAGGTGACTTCATCAAGAAATTCTTCTACAGGAAGGAAAATTAAAAGTGAAAGCCATGTCAAACAGGTCCTCAGTCTTTTTTCAAATTTGAAGGTGTATATTGTGTGTATATCATGTTGATAATTGAAATGGAAGTAGTGACAGTTGAGTTTATAGTTGATCAGTGTTGATTTTGATTAACTTATTATTGAATTGAGTTAGTAATATTGTGATTATTTCGTCTGAAATGTGCTTAATTCCTTACTGTTTGTTGGTAAATTCTATTTGTCAGCTATTTTTACATTTTTACTGGCGTATATTCTTCATATGGTCCTTAAGGGATGAAATTTGACCTTGCAGCGATCACATCATTGCCTCAAATAGAAACAACTAAAAAGCTAGAAACTTGACTGGGTGAAGAGAAAACTAGGACTCTAGAGGAATTAGTAGCGTATCAAATCTTGTACAATTCATATTCTGGTTTTCCATTGTCGGCCTGTTCTTATATGTTTCAACTACAAAATAATTTTAGAATAAAGAATCTCTTATATATTTCACTTATAAGTAATTAGTAAGTTATAACCTACAGGCTACAGCAATGACCTAAGAAGTTTGTTTTCTTTGAACAGAATAAGCATAAATTAAGACCAATCTAGTAAAAATGCCATCTGATTAGGACTTCTAAATCATCATAGACTTCTGCTGTAAAATGCAAATAAATCTGATATCTATTAATTTCATCTGATATGAGCACTTATCTTTATGCCAAAAAGAGCTGTGGATCACCCTGACCATGGACTCAATTCTTTTGCTTCAATAGCCTCTTGCAGAAGTCTTAATCTTTATATGTTGGATAGAAGTTCTCATTCCAAGCAAAGAAAATGGCAAAGGTTAATAGAGTTCAGCCTTCATTTTCAATTGTCCTTTCGCAATAAAATATCATTTGCAAGATCCGTTAAATCCAGCAGCAATATATTTCCCTTGTCATCTTTTAAAGTGCCTGCATACTTAGTTTGTTTATTTTCTTTTCATCTTTTTAGATCCTGCTTACATGTCATTACTATTTTCTTAAAGTACTTGCGGTATAAATACAGTGAAACCTTTTTTTTTTCATGCCCCAGGTGTCATTTCTTCTTGGAATCATTCCAGTCATTGTTGCATGGCTGTACTCTGAGTGGTTGGAATATAAGAAGTCACCATCCCCTTCTAAAGTGTAAGCATCAGTCCCACCCATTCTGATGGCCCCTTTACCTCTTTCATTATGACCCAAAAGCACTTGAGGTTATGTGAAACTTACGAGATTATTGAATTATATATCCCTTATTCTGTGCTTTACTTTTCTGGGCTGCAGTCATTCAGATAATAATTTGGTCGAACTGGAGAATGAAACAATCAAAGAAGATGATAGGGCAGTGTTGTTAGAAGGAGGTCTTGCAAAATCTGCATCTTCGAAGTTGTCCACTCCATCCGTTAAAACCAACTTAATTAGGTTGATGTGCTGTCAACTTTATAGCATCTATTATGGATTTCTTTGTCACTTGTGTTTTTCAAATCTTTCTTGCTTTACACTCTTGACTTCTAGGTTTCTTTCAATGGAGGACTCGTTTTTACTTGAAAATCGAGCACTACTAAGAGCGATGTGAGTTTTAAGATATTTTTTACTGTAGTTGCTTAAAGAATCTATTTCATTCTTTTTATAACCAATATCACAATTTTGCGTAGGTCCGAAATAGGAGCTATTTTGTTCTATTTCTACATATGTGACCGTACAAATTTTTTTGCAGATTCCACCAAGGTGCTCTTTCTTTTTCTTAGTTCTTTCTAAAGTCAGAATTTATGAAACTTGCCATGGAGAATTATGCTGTGAACTACTTTTCTTCATGTCTATATTCACGACCTACATGTTGCAACAGCAATGCATGTAACAATTTTGAGCATTAGAATTTCATGGATTATCTTTTTGTCAATGAAAGATCTAAATACCAACCCTTGTGATAAAAGCATAACTAAATGAGTGGTACTCTTGTTGTATACCTGTAACTCTCTCTGGAGATGCAAATGGGGAAGAACTCAGAATTGTTACTTCAACTAGCGTTTTGATTTTATATTTTAGTATATTCTCTTGCTAGTTATCATGGGACGCTGCACATTTCTCCAAAAGGAACTTGAAATAGCTTTATGGGGCTTGCTCTGTCTAAAAGACAACGCAATTAGGGCTGGTTAGAACCGAACCGACCCGAAATTTTCGAGTATTTAGTAAGTGGACCATGTCCAGCCCTAATTGCGTTGTCTTTTAGACAGAGCAAGCCCCATAAAGCTATTTCAAGTTCCTTTTGGAGAAATGTGCAGCGTCCCATGATAACTAGCAAGAGAATATACTAAAATATAAAATCAAAACGCTAGTTGAAGTAACAATTCTGAGTTCTTCCCCATTTGCATCTCCAGAGAGAGTTACAGGTATACAACAAGAGTACCACTCATTTAGTTATGCTTTTATCACAAGGGTTGGTATTTAGATCTTTCATTGACAAAAAGATAATCCATGAAATTCTAATGCTCAAAATTGTTACATGCATTGCTGTTGCAACATGTAGGTCGTGAATATAGACATGAAGAAAAGTAGTTCACAGCATAATTCTCCATGGCAAGTTTCATAAATTCTGACTTTAGAAAGAACTAAGAAAAAGAAAGAGCACCTTGGTGGAATCTGCAAAAAAATTTGTACGGTCACATATGTAGAAATAGAACAAAATAGCTCCTATTTCGGACCTACGCAAAATTGTGATATTGGTTATAAAAAGAATGAAATAGATTCTTTAAGCAACTACAGTAAAAAATATCTTAAAACTCACATCGCTCTTAGTAGTGCTCGATTTTCAAGTAAAAACGAGTCCTCCATTGAAAGAAACCTAGAAGTCAAGAGTGTAAAGCAAGAAAGATTTGAAAAACACAAGTGACAAAGAAATCCATAATAGATGCTATAAAGTTGACAGCACATCAACCTAATTAAGTTGGTTTTAACGGATGGAGTGGACAACTTCGAAGATGCAGATTTTGCAAGACCTCCTTCTAACAACACTGCCCTATCATCTTCTTTGATTGTTTCATTCTCCAGTTCGACCAAATTATTATCTGAATGACTGCAGCCCAGAAAAGTAAAGCACAGAATAAGGGATATATAATTCAATAATCTCGTAAGTTTCACATAACCTCAAGTGCTTTTGGGTCATAATGAAAGAGGTAAAGGGGCCATCAGAATGGGTGGGACTGATGCTTACACTTTAGAAGGGGATGGTGACTTCTTATATTCCAACCACTCAGAGTACAGCCATGCAACAATGACTGGAATGATTCCAAGAAGAAATGACACCTGGGGCATGAAAAAAAAAAGGTTTCACTGTATTTATACCGCAAGTACTTTAAGAAAATAGTAATGACATGTAAGCAGGATCTAAAAAGATGAAAAGAAAATAAACAAACTAAGTATGCAGGCACTTTAAAAGATGACAAGGGAAATATATTGCTGCTGGATTTAACGGATCTTGCAAATGATATTTTATTGCGAAAGGACAATTGAAAATGAAGGCTGAACTCTATTAACCTTTGCCATTTTCTTTGCTTGGAATGAGAACTTCTATCCAACATATAAAGATTAAGACTTCTGCAAGAGGCTATTGAAGCAAAAGAATTGAGTCCATGGTCAGGGTGATCCACAGCTCTTTTTGGCATAAAGATAAGTGCTCATATCAGATGAAATTAATAGATATCAGATTTATTTGCATTTTACAGCAGAAGTCTATGATGATTTAGAAGTCCTAATCAGATGGCATTTTTACTAGATTGGTCTTAATTTATGCTTATTCTGTTCAAAGAAAACAAACTTCTTAGGTCATTGCTGTAGCCTGTAGGTTATAACTTACTAATTACTTATAAGTGAAATATATAAGAGATTCTTTATTCTAAAATTATTTTGTAGTTGAAACATATAAGAACAGGCCGACAATGGAAAACCAGAATATGAATTGTACAAGATTTGATACGCTACTAATTCCTCTAGAGTCCTAGTTTTCTCTTCACCCAGTCAAGTTTCTAGCTTTTTAGTTGTTTCTATTTGAGGCAATGATGTGATCGCTGCAAGGTCAAATTTCATCCCTTAAGGACCATATGAAGAATATACGCCAGTAAAAATGTAAAAATAGCTGACAAATAGAATTTACCAACAAACAGTAAGGAATTAAGCACATTTCAGACGAAATAATCACAATATTACTAACTCAATTCAATAATAAGTTAATCAAAATCAACACTGATCAACTATAAACTCAACTGTCACTACTTCCATTTCAATTATCAACATGATATACACACAATATACACCTTCAAATTTGAAAAAAGACTGAGGACCTGTTTGACATGGCTTTCACTTTTAATTTTCCTTCCTGTAGAAGAATTTCTTGATTAAGTCAAGAGAGAGAGAGAGAGAGAGAGAGAGAGAGAGAGAGTATCAACTTGTTTAAACACCTCACATTTGTTTTCTCAACGACAGGGTATACTGATCCTGCAAAGCCAGATCTTCCTCGACTGCATGAGTGGCATTTTAGATCTGGGCTTGATCGTTACATATGGATCATAGGAATGATCTATGCCTATTTCCACCCCACTGTACTATCTCTAATTTTTGAACTTCTGCATTTATTGATTATGCGCTGAACATTAATATTTGAGAGATTATATTATTGCAGGTTGAAAAGTGGATGGAGAAACTCGAGGAATCTGAAACCAAGCGTAGACGTACAATCAAAACATCCATGGTTGCAGTTGCCTTGATTGTAAGTTAACCTATAAGGTCATTGGTTAACTGATATGGGCTTGTATTGAAATGACAAAACGATAGCTTATTTGTTTCTTATCTGATTTCTTGCTATTCTTTCTTAGGTTGGCTATTTGTGGTATGAATATATATACAAGCTGGACAAGGTTACATACAACAAGTTCCATCCCTACACATCATGGATACCCATAACGTGTGTACTGAAATTGTGTTTTGATTTAATTTAACCCAGTTCTTCAATTCCAATGTCATCCTTTCCTTATTGGGGAAGGAAAATCTATAGAAATACTTAACAGTGTTTCAAGACTTCCCAAAGTTTTTATCTAAAATGCTTCCTTTCTCTATTGCCTTCTTTCTGCTACAGCGTTTATGTTTGTTTGCGGAATTTCAGTCAGCATATCCGGAATTTTTCTTTGACCCTTTTCGCGTAAGTTTTTGTTTCATTTCTTCATTTAAGTAATCTAATTAAATTGCTCATTCAGTTGCACGAGTTTTTAGGTTTTTCTGCTAAAGCTCATTTGAATGATATATTCATGGTGCTTTAATAGTACAAATGCTCTTTTCTATCAGGTGGCTTGGCAAAGTTACGTTGGAAACATACATTTCCCAGTTCCACATCTGGCTGAGGTGGGTAAAATTTATTTTTACCTTAATTCTATTTACTTTTAAACAAAGCTGAAAAATTTGTCTTAACCCACTTTTGAGTCTTGAGAAGATAAAATAACAAAAGAACCCTGAGGGGGTAGGTCAGTGGTCAGTCTTTGGATTTGCTCCCCAACGGTCACTAGTTCGAGTCCCCTCAAGACCACTGAGGTGAGTACCCGACTGTAAACTTCAGGGTCCATTGGGATTACTCCAGATGCTTAAACTTGCCCAGACATCCACGGTTATAAAAAAAAAAAAAATAATAATAATAATAACAAAAGGAATCTCACAAATCACAGGTATATCTTTACATAATGTTATATATTAATACGGTAGACATATGGGAAATTCCATGCATAGAATTTAGAATTAATGTTTGTTGTGCACAATTTCAGCATTAATTTAAGGAGATGAATAGATGATTTGCTGTCCTAGAATTTTGAGAAGCAAACGTCTAAGGTTGGCACCAACCAACCAATAAGAATTTTTTTTTTAACCATGCGTTCATCATTATTCACATATTTTGTAGAAACTATTATTATCAAACCATTTATAATCTTGCCAAAGGAGTCTTAAATTTACTTTCTTAAGAGCTTTCTGTCAATTTTTAACAAGCGGGCTCACATGTTGGTTCAAAATAGATAAATAGTTGATGATTAAATATTCGAACCAGTTGAATGTATCGGTCCACTCTCGTTTATGTTTTACTGACCAATATGAAAAATACAATTAAAGCTAATTTTGTGAGGCATTTCATATGCAGATCAAATATACCTAATGGACAACCCAAATGGCTACTCTCTTTCATCCCAGAGTATCCTTTGCTTAATTTCATGCTCACAACTTCCATTTATATCTTGGTGAGTAAATCTTCAGTTCATCTTTGAAATATATATATTTTTCGCAATTCATCTTTTATTTTCTTCTACCACTTGCAGATATCATATCGGATTTTTGAACTGACCAACACTTTGAAGTCAGCTTTCATACCCACAAGAGATAATCGAAAGCTGCTTAACAATTTTATTGCTGGAACAGCCATTTCTGCATGTTTATATTTCATTTCGTTCATTCTTCTTCAGATTCCTCATTAACCAGTAAGTTCTTCAATGCCATTTACAGTAAAACTGCACATGAAGCACACTTTGATCGGTTTTAGAAACCAAATATTGGATTTTCAGTGCGACACTGTTAATATTAATCGCATGTTGCATTCTATATTCCTTTTCATACTATCTACCTTGCCTTGTACAGTTATACTACTTGGCTTTTAACTCCAAAGAGAACACAATATTGTTTGTCGAGGTTCAAAAATTATAAAGTGGTAGATGCTCGGCAAAAATATTTCGTGGTGGACATAGAGTGGAATATACACGGATACTTTAGGAGGGGAAGGTCTTGCTTTCAGACCTAGTATTTTTTTATGTGGAGAATGTATCATTTGTAAATTTTCTGGAACCTGAGTAACTTGTTCTAGACAGCATTTTGTATCATTTATGAGATTCAATTAGGATATGTTTTTATTTGTTGTACCATATTTTTTTTCTTGTAGCGTTTATATTCCTAACTTTTTTCCATCGTATTATTTTCTTCAACCTACCATTATTTAACGTGTCTCGTCATTGATGATAATTTTTGTCAAAATATTATTTCCATGCTTTGAAATAAGAGAGTATTTTATCTCACTTTTATATTTATTTATTATTTAAAAATATGATGGAAAATAAATCATTTTACACCATTTCAAAAAAGACTTTTTAAATAGAAATTGTTATCAAATACATGAGTTGTTAACTAATGAAAAATTGATGATAAGAATGTCAAGGAAAAAAACTTTAGGAACATAAGTACTATAATGAGCAATAAAATATATCACAATAAATAAAAATTTGTAGTGTGAATATAATTACAACATATCTCCCACGTCGACTAAAGATGATGGCAATACTCAATATATTTAGACTTTAACTATTCTTTAGTCAAAATTGAAATTTTAAGATTTAACACTCATAATAAGTTGTGTTAGGGGTACAAAAAGCCCACCCAAGAAAAAAAGGGGCCATCTTTCAATTAGTGAAAAAAACGAATTACTTATTTTTACTTTAAAAAGATTAACAAAATTCTTGATGAACTGAGCTTTGTACAAGTGTTCATCTTCTAGTACCTGTTCGAATTGCATTGAGTTTTATTCGGAAAAGCTGCAATTCGATCAGGAAAGTCACTTTAACCTGCAATATTAAACAAAACAAAATAAATAAGAGAATCCAAAAATTGAAAACAAAAAAGGGAAATAAGTATTCATATGAATAGAGGTGGCTTCGTCTGTTCTTCAAATTGAAACCAAATTGCTGTCCAAAGCCAAAAGCCTACTCTGACTATGGACGTGGACAAAAGATGGGCCATATTTTGGCTTCCAATGCACAATATTATGTTTTACACGATGGTGACAAAATACAATTCAAACAAGTACTTGGAATGGGAATGGCGACAAATAAATATTTCCGTAGCTCATCCTTTACCGTTGCTCCATCTTTAAAAAATTAATATTATCAGAAGAGTGGTTCAAACTCTAATATATTATTATTGTTTGCATATTTATCCAATATCGAGTAATACCCTTAATATGCCTACACAGGATGGTAGTTCAATGAACAAGATTGTTGTTTTGAGATTCAAAACAAATCACATCGCTTGTTTTGAGCTTCAAAAATTGATGCAGTATGATCCTATAACTAAAAATAATGAGGTCGAGCCTTGTTATCTTTTAATTATTTTCTTGCACTTTAAGTCAATGGGGAGCATTTAGTCTTTAATTATGTATTAGGAATATTTTTTTTATTATTTAAAATAGTACTCTTGCACGAATCAATTATTTTTTGATCCAATTAAATATTCGGTATTTTTGCAAAGAATTAACGTATTTTAAGATTTTTTTTTCTCACATTTATTGATTCCACCTACCTCAAACACCAAGTTTTATTTTAAAGGGTCAATATTAATTTCAGAAGAGGAATCCAAGTCTGACCCTTGACAAATGACACCCCTCTAATTGGATTATTATCCTTATCTTAAAGGTTGAACCCCAACATTGAGGATCCCCACGGCCCCGCCTCTAGAGCTTTGTAAGGGAAGTAAATCGCAGGATGTGCCTCAACATGTCAGGGAACAAGAGCTGTCTGTACACTGCGCCTACAAGGAGTCTAATTTCATGTTTTAGGAATCGAACCCCCCACATTGATTATGATCCTTATCTTGGTTTGCTTATTTGAAGCCCACTTGCAATCTCTTCTGATTGAAAGCAAGTGAATAACAAACAAACAAAGAACGAAACTGGAATATTTAAGACTCTGGACAAGTCGAATCTCTGAAAGATATGCGGGCCACCTAGACAGTCTCCATGGGAGAAGCTCCAGAACTGCCCTCAAATATCACAGGAGAGCAAGTAGTTATTCAGATTTAATTTCCTCAAATTTAGATTTTTTTTATCGTTATCGTAGACGGTATTAGCTATGATGCATTCCTCTCTCTTTCGACTTGTTCTACCGATATCACATCGTTGGACGAGAATGTTTTTAATGTAATGTTAAAAAACTATCTTGATCATGATCAGAAATTGTGTTTTCCAGAAGTGAGAGTTGTTAGGCATTGTTAAAGCTGATTGATGCAATTATAGAATTCTAATAATTTAAAACTAATTACAACATTTTTAAGGACCATTTCATCTGTAACAATTTTTCACCATGTTGGCCACATTTCTAGTTACATGTACTAATAGTTTGTGTTGTTAAGTTGTGCGGAGTCTATATGCGGATTGATGTTTGTTAGGATTTTATAATTATTATTAAAGAGAAGCAAGTTAGAGAAAATAGGGTGTGCAATTTTTTTCTTATAAACAAATTACTACCACGACGGACCTAGTCTCACAACAGGCGCAACTCTATAAATTTTGAGTGTTCTTGTGTATCTATTTTCTTTTTGCAAGTTTGTGAGTAACTTGTTCTTTACAGCATTTCATTTTCGTATCATTTATGAGATTCAATTAAGATAAAAGTGATTATATTGGCACCATAGTTTTTATTGTTGTACCATAATTGCTATCCGAAAGCCAGGGACCTACTCTGAGTATTGATGTCGATATTTTCAATGCACAATTTATGTTGTATAGAATTGTGACAAAATACAATTCAAACAAGTAATTGAATGGCAATGGCAACAAATAAATATTTCCGTAGTTCATTCTTTCCTGCCACTCCATCTTTAAAAAATTAATATCATCAAGAAGAGTTGTTTAAACTCTTATATATTGTTATTATTTTCATATTTATTCAATATTGAGTAATATCCATAATATGTCTACACGGGATGGTAGTTCGAATGAACAAGATTGTTGTTTTGAGATTTAGAACAAATCATATCACTTGTTTTGAGCTTCCAAAATGATGCAATATGATCCTACAACTAAAATAACGAGGTCAAGCCTTGTTATTTTTTAATTATTTTCTTGCAATTTAAGTCAATGGGGAGAAGAGTGTATAACAATTTTTAATTTTAATCATTATCTAGATTTCATTCATTTCTTTCAATAAAGGTAGTGAACTTTAATGATATTTAGTTGTTTTTGAATTGAAATAAAAATTAATTATTTAAATTTGCTTCATTTTTCAATTTAAAATGGTATTCTTGCATGAATATATATATATTCAAATCGAGTACTTGATATTTTTGGAAAGAATTAACGTATTTTTTGATTTTTTTTTTGTCACATTTATTGCTTCCAGCTACCTCAAAAACCAATTTTTTTTATTTTTTTTTTTATTTTTTGTCACATTTTTAGATCAATAATTTAAGAAGAGTAATCCAAGTCTGGCACCCTTCTAATTGGATGACTATCCTTATCCTGGTTTGCTTATTTGAAGCCCACTTGCAATCTCTTATGATTGAAAGCAAGTGAATAACAAACAAACAGAAAAACAAACAAAGAAACGAGGTTATTCATGAATCTGGACAAGTTAAATCTTTAAAAGATATAGGTTAGGTTCCTGTCTTTATATAGAGTGCCGCCTTCAGCATCAATGTGCATCTTCTAGTTATCTTCATCACCATTCTTTCCTAGACAGTCTTTATTTTTTCAATGGGAGAAGCTCCAGAATTGCCGTCAAGTATCACAGGTGAGCAAGTTGTCATTCAGATTTAATTTCCTCAAATTTAGATTTTTTTTTTTAGACGGTATTATTCCTCTCTCCTTCGACTTGTTCTACCGATATGATGTCGTTGGACGAGATTGTTTTTGATGTAATGTTAAAAAACTATTCTGCTTATGATCGGAAATTGTGTTTTCCAAAACTGAGAGTACCATTACCAGAAACCGTGGCTTTGTAAGGCATGGTTTTGTCTAAGCTGATAGATGCAATTACAGAATTTGACTAATTTAAAGCCAATTAGAACACTTTTTAAGGGCCATTTTCTTCTGTCATAATTTTTCAACATGTTGGCCACATTTTCTTGTTACATGTACTAATAGTTTGCATTGTTAAGTAGTGAAATCTAATTATTGATTTGTTTTTTACGGATTTGTAATTATGAATAAAGAGAAACAAGTTAGAAAAGATAGGGCGTGCGAGTTATTATAATGAATTACTACTGTGACAGATGTCACAGATCTAGTCTCACAATAGACGAACCTCTATAAATTTTGAGTGTTCTTATGTGTCTATTGTCTTTCGGCAATTTTGTTACTCTAGATGGTATTATTTAGGATTTCTAATTCTTAACACGTGGTTCACCAGGTGGCGCTGATGAAAAGGCTGAACAAGTAATCTCACCAGAAAACATAAACCAGAATCCTCAAAATCCTTCCTTCCATTGCCTTAAACAATACAAATGGTGGATTCAAATGGCCATTTTCACTCTCTTCGTCCTTGCTGGACAGTCAGTGGGCATCCTCTTGGGTAGATTGTATTACAACAATGGCGGAAACAGCAATTGGATGGCAACATTTGTACAATGTGCAGGATTTCCAATGGTCCTACCATTTCTGTGCACCCCAAAATCCAAAATTTCAAACCCAGAAATCAAAAGAAAAAACCATTCCACCTTAATCCTTGCTTTAGTTTACATTTCACTTGGAATTTTTCTTGCAGCAGATTGTATGCTGTACACAATTGGGCTAAAATATCTCCCAGTTACTACCTATACTTTAATCGGTGCTAGCCAATTGGGATTCAATGCCCTTTTTTCTTACTTCCTCAATGGACAGAAATTTACTCCTTCTATACTGAATTCTTTAGTGCTTCTCACAATTTCCTCCACACTTCTTGTATTCCAAAATGATTCAGATGATTCAAAAAAAGCCTCGAGAGCAAAGTACGTATTAGGCTTCGTATGCACTATTGCTGCATCTGCTGGTTATGCATTAATGTTGTCTTTAACCCAGCTTGCCTTTCAGAAGATCATTAAACGTGAAACCATGAGGGCGATAATTGATATGTCACTCTATCAGAATATAGTAGCAACATTTGCTATTTTAATAGGGCTTTTTGCAAGTGGGGACTGGAAGAAATTGAATGCAGAAATGGGCAATTTTAAACCTGGGAAAGTAGCATATGTCATGAACTTGGTTGGGACAGCAGTTTCTTGGCAAGCTTTTACTGTGGGTTGTACCGGGTTGATATTTAAGGTTTCTTCATTGTTTTCGAATGTGATTAGTATGCTAGGTTTGCCTATTGCTCCAGTTCTTGCGGTGATTTTTCTTCATGAAAAGATGACTGGATTGAATGGTGTAGCAATGGTGTTGGCTATGTGGGGTTTTGTTTCTTATATGTATCAGCACTATCTCGATGATCTGAAGACGAAGGCTGAAAAAAAACATTCCAATGATGTTTCTGAAGTTCCGCTCACCGAAACTAGTTAGCTGCTTGTCATGCTATAATCATGAGTGGAATTGAGGAGTTAAGTGTTGCACGATAACTTGCAGTGACATGCTTGCTACTGGATATGTTTATATTTTTAGTTCAGATTGTAAAAGCTGGTAGCAGAGAAAATAATGCTCATGTGCAAGATATCAAGCTCGATACTTGGCATGGAAGGAAAGATCAAAACTATCTGTTTGTCTGTTCGTTCATGCTTACAAGTGACTTTTTTCTGCTTCTTTTGATGGAATGTCATTTAAGCAGGGCCAGAGATCTTCACTTGATAATCTGCCATTTTGTGCAGATAATGAAGAAAAAAATAGTATAAAGACAATTATTCTACTTGTACACATGATTTTATACTTAGCACAATTCAGTATATAGATACCTCAACAGATTATGATTTCGAGGGGACATCCACTATGAAAGGAAAATAGTAGTCGGCATTTTATAAGCGACTTGCCGAGTCTATGAGGGAGATTTATCTTCTAGAGTTACAGATTAGTGGATTTGACGTCATCTTGGCTTGGTTTTCCACTTAGAATGGACACCCAATGGATTGTTTGCATTAATTTGCCTTCCGTCCGTCACAGCTAAATAGTGGCATTAGCATTAAGTTGGGTTGGGCTGTTACAGTGCACAGGCCTAATTTTCTAGGAACACTGTGTTGGGCCTTTTTAGCTATCTATGGTTTGCACAGGCCTTAACAGAGAAGCGCGGCCAAGAACAAAATTGAAGACTTGGCTCAGGGCTCCACCTGAGTACTACTTGTGTGGAAGAAATTATAAGTTTTTAAAATGATAAATTGATTAAAAAGAGTGTTATATAAGTGGATGATAATTGTGTCATACGAATAAAGGTCGTGTTTATCCTCCTTGGATTTGATCATCACGTGATGTTAACAAGTGATGTGCCATAAAATAACATGGCTAATTAAAGTTATTTTTTGGACAACTCATCCTCAATTAGAGCCTGTTTGGGAGTGATTTTGAGAATTGATTTTTTGACCGTTAAGAGAAAAGTGGGGTCCACCTGTAAGAAAAAAATCAAATATGACAACTGGAATAGTGAAATAACAGTTTGGAGGAAAAAATCACTCCCAAACAGGCTCTTATGCATTCTTATCTTTCACCTTAATTTTTGCACATTTTAACTACACATTCTCAAAAATCACTTTTCAAAAATCTTGTCCATACAAGGACTAATGGGCTGTTTAACAAAGCTTTTGATGAAGAATTTAATAGATTTGTTAAAAAAAATAATGCTATTTGTACATATTACTTTAATAAAAATTAAAAAACATATGATTGAAAAGTTGATAAAATTTTTGAATCTTTAAATATATATAATTAAAATTAATTGTCTAAGTTATCCCAAACACGCACCGACTCATTTTATTGATGCGGAGTTACTAGTAGAGCTTCAAAATCCCATCTTGTCACATTTACGGCACAGTTATTAATGCGTGACGTGTGTGGTGACGGCATCAAGCCGACTTTGTTTACTTGTAAAAATCATTGAACGTCATTCATATAAGGAAAGGTGCTGAATAGTGATTGATTTTTGACAGTGAAGTCAATTGCGTAGTTACAATAAAGAAGGGAGTTTTGTTGTTTTATCAGGGTAGGGGTTTTGACCCTTACAAGGGGGAAATGATGGATTTTTTGGGTAATTTTTTTATACAGGTGGATCCGTTTTTATCGACTTAACTTTACATTAACTTTGACACTCTTGAGTTCGACCTTCTTTACATGAGCCCAACCTCATGGTCTGGTTTACTAACTTAAGCAATAAATTGTGCCATGTTTGGTTGGTCCATCTCAAAGCACATTATTATGTGGGTGCAGTACGGCTGCTGTCTCCTCCACATGAATAAATAACCAATATTGAAAGCCATCTCCTGTAGAACATGGGGTGATAGCGTTGGTGAGCGTGGAGATCTCACGAGTTCGATTTTCTTTACCAATACTTTCTCGATTGAGCATGTTGCACAGTGCTTGGCTAGTGTGATTTACTTGGCTGGCGTGATTTGCAGGCTATTGCGTTAACCCGAGGGTTTACCCAATGTGCACCCGAAAGATAGCGGCTACGAATTTTCCCGACATAAAAAAAAAAAAATAATAATAATAATAATAATAAAATAAACAGTGATGAAAAGTAGTCACTAGTTAACATCAAGTAAGAAAATTTGAGCATTAGGACAAATTAATACATTAAGTGGACTTCAAAGAACACGCACCGTTAAATTAAAATAATATTAATATCTAGCTACAAAACGCAGTTCTAAGTGATAATTTAATTAAATAATACCTATCTACAACACGTATTTTTGAAAAATCAAAAGTTGCCTTTGCACATGTTTAATAATTTTTTGAAAGTATTTTATTCGATTAGAAGAACTTTTAGAGAAAATCGGCCTAAAATAACTTTTTCATGAAGTTTTTTTATAAAAAATAGGAAAAAAAAAAAAAGAAAAAAAAAAGAAGAAGGGAAGCTTTACCAAATAAATCCTTAATTAGACTTGTTATCTAGTGTTACCTAAATCAATACTATCGCTACTAAAATAGCATTATTCTTTAAATAATTAGTCCAATACAATTTTTTAAAACATTTTGTCAGTATGCTGTTTAAACTGAAATTTAAAAGAATAATTCTTGGTGTGTCCATAATGCACACATGACGCCCTCTTATTGAAGGGATGTCGGATGGGCCAGACACCCCCTCCAATAAGGGGCGTCATGTGTGCACTCATAGCACAACTCAATTTAAAAACTCCAAAGCAAGCACTAATGTTATGTTTCTCTTTATAAACTAGTCTCTCCTTTCTGTGAGTATTTGTATCCTCTGCAAGTTACTTTTGCCTAGTTTTCTAAATCATCCCGTTGGATTTTAACTTCACAATCTGCCTATTTTGCCATGGAAGAAGCTCAAGAACTGCCACCAGGTACCATATCTAGATTGGATTCACTTTGGAAAGAATTTGGTCTGTATATTTTAATTGGAATTTCGGAAAAAAAAACAGGGAGACAAAAAATCTTGATATTATGTTCTTTCACTTCCTTCTCTTTTGTTTACTTGCTCCAACTACAAGACTAAATTTAAGGCCTATTCACGGTTGCTCGATATAGATGCTCAGAATCTATTGATTGCTGTATTATGTTTGACACTAGTGTGATTTTTAGGGTGGTGTAATTTCTTTTACTGGGGTCCATCTAGGGGCACGATATAGCGAACAACAAATCTGGACTCCTAATGTTGTCCTAACTTGTTACACTGCGACTGTAAATATAGCACTGAAATTCAGAGGTTGAAAGAGTATGCTAAAAGAGTTTTTTGGAATAGAGTAATGTTATTCATCGGTAGTGCTGATGATTAGCCGTCTATGCCACAGTGAGACAACTTTTATGTTGTCCTTTAGAATTGGGATGTATTTTAAATCATTGAAGAACGTGGTAGTTACTAATTATCCTAATGGCACATAAATGGCTGATGAATATCATTATTCCGTAGGTAGTGCATAAGAGAAATCTGTAAACGTTATTGTTCAACGTTATTTCCAGGATACTAATAGTTCAACGTTATTTCCAGGACGGAGAGTTGAAGAAGTTCCGTCGACAGAAATTGTAAACGTCGACACTCAAACTTCTTCCTTCCAATGGCTTGGACGATATAAATGGTGGCTTCAGATGGCCATCTATACGCTTTTTGTCCTCGGGGGGCAGTCAAATGGTACACTCTTGGGTAGACTCTATTATGACAATGGTGGAAAAAGCAATTGGATGGCTACATTAGTGCAATGTGCAGGATTTCCAGTTCTCATCCCATTTCTATTCACCTCCAATTCTAAAAATTCAAATGCAGAATTCGACATGAAGAAGCCTTCTATCTTGGTCCTTGCTTCAATTTATGTTTCCCTTGGAATTTTTCTAGCAGCAGATTGTGTGACTTACTCAATTGGGCTGCAATACATTCCAGTTACTACCCATACTCTAATTGTTGCCACTCATTTGGGATTCAATGCCCTTTTCTCTTATTTCCTCAATGGACAGAAGCTTACTCCTTATATACTCAACTCTCTAGTCCTCCTCACCATTTCTTCGACACTTCTTGTATTCCGAAAGGACTCTGGAGACTCAAACAAAACCTCGAAAGAAAAGTATGCATTAGGCTTCATATGCACCATTGTTGCGGCTGCTTGTTATGCCTTAATTCTCTCGCTAACGCAGCTGTCCTTTCAGAAGATCATTAAACAAGGAACTCTAAAAGCTATACTATATATGTCAATCTATCAGAATCTAGTTGCATCCCTCGTCATTCTAATAGGGCTTTTCGCAAGTGGAGACTGGAAGAATTTAAACGAAGAAATGATCACCTTTAAAACCGGGAAAGTATCCTATGTTATGAACTTGTTTTGGACATCAGTGGCTTGGCAAGCTTTTGCTGTTGGTTCAATAGGATTGATATTCAAGGTTTCTTCATTGTTCGCCGGTATAATTAGTATATTAGGTCTGCCTATTGCTCCGGTTCTTGCCGTGATTTTTCTCCATGACAACATGACTGGATTGAAGGCCATAGCCATGGTGTTGGCTATGTGGGGTTTTGTCTCTTATATGTATCAACATTATCTTGATGATTTGAAGACAAAGGCCAAAAGGACTGAGGACGAAATTTCAGTCACTGAAAGAGGTTAAGTCCTAATAGAAGACAGAAGAAGCCCATGTACAATCACAATTTACAGGAATGCTTAATTATAATTACTGTCAAATCCAACATATGGAGATTTAGGTAATTATAAATGAAGGGCTATTTCTAATTTTGCTTGCCTTCGTACTTTTCTTATTGCCAACTGAATGAATTACGCACAGATTAACATCCTTACTCTAGAATTTCCATTAGCCCCGCAACCGAAAGTTGATTAAGTGATAAGATTGTGGAATCTTAAAGTAGAACCCCACTAAAATAATTAATCCAACTACAAATGCATCTTTAGTTAAATAAAATCTAGTGAAGCAGAGATTTCGATCCGACAATTACTTGTCCAGATGACCATAATAGATACGAGGGATTTAATGCCTATATTTCCACTCATCTTAGAGAAATCAATTAAAGAGAATCCAATCATGCCTCATAATTTAGACACCAAGAATTCTATCTACTTATAAGCTAATTGTATCAAACTGATCTCTCTTCGAAGACAAATTATAAATATTTCATGGGCGGAATTCAAGAAAAGCAAGTGGATATCCTGAGTAAGTTCACGTTTTAAACATCTCTTGATCCTTTATCATTAAATAGTTATGTGCGACTAACTTGTTTGGCCCCCATTATTTGATATTATAGTTTTTGGATTAATGTTTTTTTGAAAAATGTGTGGTTAAAAAATATAAAATTATTTTGAATTTACGCATAATATTATTTTATTGAAAAATGTGTAGTTGATAAGAAGATAGAGAAAAATGAATTATAATTTTAGTGGAATCAAACAGTATTTAATTCTTCATTTCACTCTCCAATACTGCATAGGAGTTCATCCCCTACCTTCCCAGCTGCAGTAGAGCTATTTTCTAGAATCTATCCACTCTTCTTTTAACATAAGTTACGTTTATTCCTAAATTCTATGTTTTCTTGGTGTGCCTACTTCTCAATCTCAAGAAATAGTGCACAGGTCTTCATAGGCAGAGACATGAGTTGGTAAAAATGATCCCAAGTTCGTATAGCACTTATAGCAGTGAGCTCAAGGTTTTTTTTGCTTATGGTGTATTCAGTTAGAATTACAGTTAGAATTACTGCATGAACACAATACGTGCGAATTTAGGGGTTGGTAAAGTTTGACCTGGAGAAGAAATTAATGGCATCCATCTAACTGTCAACTACCTTCTAAATGCACCTCCTTTTCTATTCTTCGTGTGCATTCACGAGCATATGGCAGGAGTGCAAAGAGGGCTGGGAGCGTGGACGTGGCTACCATATTAGAATAAGAGATGTCAAAATTTATCTTGCCATTCAAGCTCAAGTGTCTTGCAAGCATGTTTTCAAATCCCATAGGCCAACCTGCATCTCTAGCTGACCTGTGTTGGGCCGTGTGAGTCGGCCCACAGGTGCCTATGTTTGAAAAGCAAGAACGAAACATGAAAGAGAAGTAAATCGTAAAACTTCAGTCTTTGAGCCGTGCCTGTTTGCAGTGTCGGGTCCGCCAAAAAAGAGGGCTGTGCCGAGCTACTCAGTGTGAAGCCGGGCTTTTTCTGCAACTTGACTAGAAATTCATTTATCATCTAGTAATCAGTATCTCGCATCACAAATTTCATCACCACCTTGCAATCAGTTTCTCTGATATTTGAATAAGACAAAAGGATAGACAGAAATGGTCGAGAATTCTAATCTAAACTTTATCATGTGTGCAACGTACCAGCTGCTCAGGTAGTTACAGAAACAAAGTCGCCTGAAATGAAAATGCCAATCATAATTCAACGGCGACTGGGCTTAAACAATACGGAAAGTGGCTCCAGATGGCTATATATACAGTCCTGGTTCTCACCGGCCAAGCAACAGCGACACTCCTTGGAATTACGACAAAGGTGGAAAAAGCAAATGGATTGGAAGTCTTGAGCAGCTTGCAGGATTTCCAATTCTTCTTCCGTTCCTCTGGATTACAGCAACTAAAAGACCTACTTCAGACAATGAAAGCACAAAATCATCTTCCGTGTTAGTTCTAATATCACTATACATTGCTTTCGGCATTTCCCTTGCATTTGATAGCATGCTATATACAGTTGGGCTCAAATACCTTCCTGTCTCTTACTTTTTCCCTCGTTTGTGCAAGCCAATTGGGGTATAACACGTTTTTTTCCTACTTCCTTAATTCTCAAAAGTTCACTCCTTCTATACTTAACTGTGTTTCTCCTGACTGTGTCGTCCACGCTCTTTGTTTTTCAACCCGACCCTACAGATTCAACTGTTTAGGGGAAGTATGCCGTAGGATTCATATGCACCCTCAGTGGTTCTGCCGGATATGCATTACTACTATCCTTGTTGCAACTCCTTTTTGGGAAGGTTCTGAAAATGGAAAGCATTAATGGGATCTTAAATGTGACATTCTACACGTCACTTGTGGCAACTTGCACCATTCTAGTCGGCCTTTTTGCCAGTGGAAAAGTTTGGAAGCAGAAATGGAGAGATTTGAACTGGGGAAAACATCCTATGTCATGACTTTGGTTTGGACAGCATTGTCAGGACAGATAATGCTAATTGGTCTCATGGCATTGATTTTGACAGTGTCGTCTCTTTTCGCCAATGTCATTAGTGCTCTAAATGTGCCACTTGTTCCAGTTCTAGCAGTTACAGTCTTCCAGGATAAAATGACTTGAGTGGAAGTTGTTGCCATGCTGTTGGCTATTTGAGGGTGTGTATCCTCTACATATCAGCAGTATATTGATGCTTTGAAGTCCAAGACTGACAGCATAAATGTACACAGAGAGCCTGAAATCTCCCTTTTTGAAAGGAAATGAATTATTCATATTTGGCTGTGTGTTTGTATGCAGTACTATTCAAGACTGAGTAGTATTCTAGATAATTTTAGCTCGTTTTGCTTCACAAATTTTCCAGTATTCTCGTCTACCTCACCAAGCACACCATAAATGTGGCAAAAATCTTTTAACAAAGTAGTCAATGATACAGAGAAGTTCAATCAAAAAATTATCGTTCCTAATTTTGGTAGAAAAGAACAGCATATATTACAAGTATCAGCATGCACCATTCTGAACTCCATCCATTCTAATTCGTGAAAATTCAGTTCTTCATGCAAAATCAGCAATGAAAAGGTTTCACTAATCAATGTCTAGATATAGTAACTGTTATAATTTTGTCTCAGTTAAATAACTAACTTGTCCGAAATGAAACTAATGTCTCAAAAAATTATATTTAACTATTGGATGTGTTGATAACTTATGAATAATAATTAATTCCTTCTATGGAGCAAAACATTAAGCTAAGATACAGAAGAACAGAAGCTAGCTTGACTCACGTAACAGCAGGTGCATAAAGTGAATCTGCTACATAAGACAGCCCACATAATTAGCTCGAGGGTACTTCATTTTTAGCTGTGGCCATTGCACAAATAACTGATCAGCCATGTGTAGTTTGTAAAGAAGCAAGCCACTCAAAGATAGCTTCCTCACTCTAGCTATGCTTTCAACATAGAAGATGAATGACCATCTAATCCCGAGAACCTGAAAGATGCATTTAGAATTTATTTAATTAAAAAAAATTATAATGGGCTATTCCCAATCTTAAGGGAGTCAGTCAGAGAATTAATTTTTGCAATGTGTAATGGCCTCTAAGAACTAAGAAATAAAATGGACAATGAAATTGTTGCATTCAAACCTTGAAAAGAAATGCAATTGCACATAGGGGTATACAAGTTCCAGGGCCGTTGCACAAAATCTGGGAAAAGAATGTAGCAGTAAGTATTGATATAAAGGAAATAAAATTAAAACAACATAAAGGACTGTCACAATACCACTTGGGGCCGCATCTTAACCATTAGCCACAATGCATGCACTATTGCAATCAATGTTGTTCCGATAGAAGTTATGTACGATTGACCAACCTCTCTGCTCCTATATATTTGCACGAAATGAGCAGGTCCTACCTCGTCGACACCTGCCTAAAACAAGAAAAGCAACATAAAGGACAAAACAATAATACCTGGGCATCTACAGAAACATGACACCATCAGTACCACTGACCTTCAAATGCAGATTTGACTCCCTGATATGTAAGATATAAGATACATTCAAAATTTATTAACAAAAAACTAGAGTACACTGAAAAGGCTCGCCCTGACAGCTTGAACTTGCGAGAAGATGTGACAGAAAATGATCCATTCTTTTCTGTTGCATTTAAAATCTTGGTTTTGAAAGGCTGGTAAACTGTAAGGTAAAAAACAGAGCTTATACATACTTTCATTGCAATTCATCTATGATAATCAATCCAGAATTATAGCGTTTCTCAATAAAGAGCTAAGTATGATAGATTCTTGGAGAGAAAGTCCTACTGCGGTTAAAATATCATCTTGCCGGCATTCTCAATTAATAAACTGTGTATTCACCCCATGGATGGATCCTTTGAGATCAAACCATATAATTGTGTCTTGAATTCTTGAGTTTTAAAATTATCATGTTTGTTCATTGTTCAAGATCCAAGGAGGGATTCATTTTTTATTCTTGAATTCCATAAACTAGCAGAAGAAATCTGGACATTGCATATCATGCATCCTCTGACCTAGAATACCATTTTCCAGTTTAACAAAAAAAATAACTTTTTGATATTGTACTATTTTCACTTTTTCCACTATCAAATTTTTGTTGTACTACTTTAGGTATCCTAATATTAGCATGCTATCCCTGGATTCCCTGTCCAGGCATCCATTGCAGACTCCTAAATTTAATAATTCACGTATCTGAGATGCCTAGATCCACACATGCCCAAGAATATAGGACATTACATACCTCATCCACCAAGGAATCCTCGAGAACACGGGCCTTTTGAAGACTCATATTATCAGTTGCTGCAGCAACATAATATCTTGGCTTAAACCTTTCTTTCTGCAACACTGCTAACAAATTTAGCATCTCTGCCGTATGCCCACCTACATTAGGATCAAATAACACCAACATTTATATGCAAGATCAAATATTGTCTCCAGTTGCCTGGAATGGGGGCTCTGAATTGGAAGATAAGCGATCTAGTTTAGGGTAAACTGATTGTTCAACCAACTTCTGTGCAAAGGCCGGATCACACTTGAAACATGAAAAATAAAGAAACAGGCTACTTTCTATACCTGATCCCAGAACAATTAATGTACTGAGGGGTCCTGGTGATCGAGTATAAAGTGGTTTGCGGCTGTGGTATAAAACATAAATAACGCGAACTATAATTAAGGTGATGATACCAACAACCAGGAGGAGAAAAACAATTGGGAAATCCATGTTGGACAAGAAACAGCAATTGCTATAATCCATTGCAAGAAGTTTTCAATATTTCAGCCTCCTACATTAAATTACACAAATCATTAGCATAAACCCTAATAGGAGTTGATGGTCAATTAAAATATGTGATTTAAATATCCAGCCTTTCCACAAATATCTCAAAATAAGAACTAAAATTTACAAGTAAATATTTGATAATTAGAAATATAAAGAGCAAAATATCAAAATATTGAGTTGAGTTGACATACTTTTGATTCTTATTCTTCATTTGGGTCTTCAATCCATCGCTTCCCCCTTTGAAACATCATGAATTTTCTTCAATTTTTGATTCAAAACTTCACTTAAATTCAGTTTTCATACAATCTGGGTAATATTTTATACAGATTTCTCACAATGAAAGAGGAAAACGCGTTCTTAAGTTTTTTCCAATATTATGGGCCTAAGCAGTCTGCTACAGATAAAGGCCTCTCCAACTCCTTGGATTAAAATGGGCCAAGATCACAAATGCACTTTGAATGTATGACACGAAGTGTTACGAGGACGCAAGAGATATTATCTTAACTCTCGTGTCTGTTAGGCTAGTTAATTATTTTAATTAGTTAGAAGTCAAGTATAATGTCCTTTCTATGTCTTTTAGAATTTCATTTTATTTAATATTACTAAATAATAAATACAAGTTCAAAACAAATAAAAGTTCTTAATTAGCATTAGCACTGATTTTGAAAAAGTTTGAAATAACAGGGATACTATGTTTACTGAACCGAAAGCTGAAGTTTTCAATTGTCAATCATGCTACCTATGCATCATATTTTACATTATGCAACTTGATGATACATGATTGGACAGTTTATAAAAACACACTTTCCACCCAACACTTATTGAAATACAACGGAATGTACACAAAGATGTTCACCTACATAATTCTTCAATTTTTTGGTGTATGCACCAATTTTTTGGTAATTCGTCATTTCATGTGTTCTTCTCAAAGAGAAAAAGAATGATTTTCATAAACCCAAACAAACTATCTGAAGGGTTCAAAGCTCAACATGTTAATGTGATAGCTCCTTATTCATTGTTATATTCCACCGACAAGCACCATTAAAAAATTTGCTTGATTGCTATTTGAATCAGAAAAAAAGAAGAAGCCAAAAGAAACCTTCAATTTGGTTTATTACAAGAATATTCAAACAAAAAGAAGAAAACTTCTTAGCTAAAATTTCTGAAAAGCAGGGATTATTCAAACAAAATCTGAGATCGAAATTTGCAATAATCTTAGAATTTGACCAATAAAGATAAAGAACATAATAATTAACAAGTACTATTAACGTCCAAATATATCTATGAATTTACAAAGACCCAATTAAAAAATTAAGAAAGCTTCGGTATCCAAGAGTAAGAAAACATACTAAAATAGTTCTGCCCAATTGAATTATAGCAATCGGCTGGACATAGACGAGAGTAGGAGATGCGGAGAGATGCAGTAGAGACACAGAAACACACGACGAAGAGAGAATTGGAGACGGAGTGGAATAAAAATGTTTGGGTTTGGGAATTGGGCTAGGGCGGGTTTTAAAATATTCATTTTGGGTTTTTGTTACTGGTTTGGGCTAATAGGACCACGGGTTCGTATTAAAAAGATGTTTGGTAGTGATTAAAATTAAATTTTTTAGTAGATTGTGATAAAAGTTTTTTAAATGTGTAATTGAAAAGTTATGAGACCCATAAAAGAAGTTTTTGAAATATTGATTGTTTGGTAGAAGGTTGGTGGTTAAGGTGGTAGGATCTGGAGTAGGGTGAACTGTTTGGTGTCGGTGACCAAATATTTGGTTAATTTGAAACTTGCAAACTAAAAATTCGATAATTTGTGACTGAGAAGTAACTTGTGACTAATTAATTTGAAAATTTATGACCATTAAATAAGATGAAATCCATAAAATTTGTGATTTATGAACAACAAATAAATTATGACTTATAATATTTTTTTATTTGTGATCAAGAATTAATTTGTGACCAATTAATTTGATAATATGTGATCAAAAAATAAGTTGTGGCCTATAAGTACGTAGATGTGATCGTTAATTGTATAATTGTGATCTTAATATATTTAATTAAAAAGATTATATTTAGTTATTTATTTATCACCTGTCTTTTGGAATTGTAAATTTATTATCTGATATTGAATTGCCTATTTGTAATACTTGAGATATGAAGTTTTTCCATGAAAAAAGTTGGACTAAAAATTGGATCTGGGCTGCAGCTGGCACGGGTTGTAGCCCAGGCCCAGATACGCCAATAGGCCCATGGTTTAAGATGTTATTGATGAATGTGAACCTTTATGATTCCGTATTTCATTGAATTTCAAGATTCAAGATTATCCATTTTTTGCAATTCTGTTCAACTGGCATCCCTAATACTTTCTTAAGAATTAAGATATGTTAGTACTAGGCTCCGTATTTCTACATTAGCATTTAAAATTAGAGTTACAGTCTATACATTCTAGAGGATTTTTCCATAGTATTCATGACAGATATGACTAAAAATATCGCGCAAACAATCATTGTCTCTCTTCAAACGATCAAGTCACTATTGCATCAGTTCAATCAACCTTAAACTACCATAACATAAACATAGTTAGGGTGCGACTCAATCTAAAATACTTCCAACTTATATACGTAACTAAGCTTTTGTTAGTCAATCATTCTATTACATTCTACCACATTACTTTTCTTATGGTATTCATTTTCAACCACATATTCTTCATTAAAATAATATCACATATAAATAAATAAAAAATCATTCTTTTTAACCACACATTTCAACTATTTCATAATACACTTTTTGAAATTAAACGGGCACAAACAAGGCTTAAATGTTTGGTTTATCTCTATATGTATAACATATTGGTATTATCAAAAGTAACAACTTCTTTAGTGCACCAAGAAATGATGGATTAGATCATCAAAACTAGGCAAGAATCCAATTAAAGGGAGTAATTGTAAAAAATGGTAATGTAAGAATGTGTTCGTCACGCTTCAATATTTACAGGAAACATGTTCATTTGAATTTACTGACACTATTAAAGAGATTATCTTTTAGCGTATTTTCAAGATTTTATATTTTTTCTTTCCCATCCTTTTTTTTTTTTTTTTTTTTTGGGTTTTTTTAAATTTTTTTTTTTTTTTTTTCCCTTTTTTTTTTTTTTTTTTTTTTTTTGTGTTCCTTTTTCTTAATCTTTTTTTTTTTTTTTCTTTTTTCGTATTCAAAGGGAACTTGAATTTAAGGATATCTCTACCCATCTACATTAATGATCCTAAACTCCTAATTCATGCATCTTTTAAAATAAAGATATTAATGCATATCCAATGTCACAAATGGCAATCCTTAATTGGTCAGAATGAAGGTCTTACACAATGGATTAGATTTTGTTGACCTAATATATCCGACAATGGTTAGTGGTGCTAGAGGTTGCCATATGGATGTGTAACGTCGAGCTATCAAAATGTCACCCACCAATGAAAATTCAGATAATGATTTCTTTAGATCAGGACCTTGGCTGCCCTTTTCATATAAATTCCTTTACTGGGATGACCATGAAACGCAAGCCAAATATACCGAACAATTTTTCATTGATCACAGTGTAGCTTTCTGTTTAATTTAGTCTGCAATGGCTGCATCGACAATGGCTCTTTCTTCCCCATCTTTTGCCGGGAAGGCAGTTAAGCTTTCACCGTCGGTTCCTCAGATCACCGGTAATGGAAGAGTCTCCATGAGGAAAGCTACCAAGTCCGTTTCATCTGGCAGTCCATGGTACGGCCCTGACCGGGTCAAGTACTTGGGTCCATTCTCTGGTGAGCCACCAAGCTATCTCACTGGTGAGTTCCCTGGTGACTATGGTTGGGACACTGCTGGACTCTCAGCTGACCCCGAGACATTCGCCAAGAACCGTGAACTTGAGGTGATCCACTGCAGATGGGCTATGCTTGGAGCCCTTGGATGTGTTTTCCCTGAACTCTTGGCTCGTAATGGAGTTAAGTTCGGTGAAGCCGTGTGGTTCAAGGCTGGATCCCAGATCTTTAGTGAGGGTGGACTTGACTACTTGGGCAACCCAAGCTTGATCCATGCACAGAGCATTTTAGCCATCTGGGCTTGCCAGGTCATCTTGATGGGAGCTGTTGAGGGCTACCGTGTAGCTGGAGGGCCACTTGGTGAAGTAGTCGACCCACTTTACCCTGGTGGCAGTTTCGATCCATTGGGTCTTGCTGATGACCCTGAAGCTTTCGCTGAGCTCAAGGTTAAGGAAATCAAGAATGGAAGATTGGCCATGTTCTCTATGTTTGGTTTCTTTGTTCAAGCTATTGTAACTGGAAAGGGTCCTCTGGAAAACCTTGCTGACCACCTAGCAGACCCCGTTAACAACAATGCTTGGGCATATGCCACAAACTTTGTTCCCGGCAAGTGAGCGCGAGAATCCAGCTGAATCATAATTTGTGTGGTGTGGGAAATATCAATGTATATTGGTTTGTTCTAATAAAAAGTGTGTTTTTTTGCATCATTGAGTACCAATTTCAGAATGAATATCTGTGTGATGCAGATTTTTAATATTTGAAAATGCTGAGGCACAGATCGAACTAGTTAAATTGATGGCGATTTAGATAAATAGAAAGGGGAATGAGAGTACTCAATTATCGTATTTTATATCGTCTTCTGTTTGTATCAAATTGTTTATATCCTTGCCTTCTGAATTTGAAGCTGTCAAAGGAGTCTGGATTACTGGAAATCAGCACTTCAAGGCCATAAAGTTACAATTATTTGTTGTAGGAAAGGAAAAACCAAAGTAAAAACGAAAAATAAAAATAAAAATCTCGTGTTGTAAAACACGAATGCATTGAGAAATTTGAAATTTAAATGATTTTTAATAGGAAAATATCTTGTTTACAACTGCCAAGAGTGTAAACCAGAATACAATATCCATTCTTCAATTAAATTTAGATACAGAACATAATTTAGGCTAAGCTTCACTGATAAATTGTATTGTACTTGTTTATTTCTTCACTATCCTTGTATTCGAAAACAAGCAAGCAGCTAGGATGCTGCCATTGCGGGATTGTTGCATTATGAGGCTAAGTTTAAATGATAAGGTAATCACCGCAGGAAGTTCACATCATTTTACGCAGCTTTAACAGGAAAGATAATACGGATTCCATGTCAGATTGATTCTCAGGATCTGGGCTGGTGCAGGACAACGCTAAATGGAGAAGCCCTTCTAGTACCTCTTGCTTCTTGGTAGCACAAGACACTAAACGAGGATGCACGATTTGAAGTAGGCCATTGATTCCATATGCAAGTGCTTTCTGCACAAGTTGAGACAAGGTAATTAGCAATCCTTTTTCTGTAAATCCCGTTGGCCTTTTTGCTGTGATCAGCTCCATCACTATCATACCGAAGCTGAAAATGTCCAATTTTATTGTTACTTTCCTCATGTATGCAAATTCTGATACATAGAAAAGCATGTAACTTATAAGATAGGTCCAGCATCAGAGAAGGGCATGTAAGAATGAGAACGAAATGTTTGTCCCACACACGAAATATGATTTAGTTGTCTATTATATTCTTGAATTTTCATAGTGCTAGTACCAACATATTTTTACAGAAATCATTTGAACTTGGAAAACTAGAAAATCTTACTAGAACACCTCGTGTGAATTACTAAGACATGCCATAAATTTTTCTGATGAAGGACTGGAAAGCATTACCTGGGGCCTTGTAGCCAATAGTCCATTCAAATGCTGATTCTGACGAGATGCTGCTTCCATCCTCCAGGTGAATTCCAAGCATCTTTGCCCAAGTGTGCTTCCATCTTAACATCCAAAAGAATATTAGAAGGCTTCAAGTCACAGTGCACTATGGGTAAATCATAACCGGAGTGCAAGTACAGCAACCCACTGGTAATGGAAACTAAAGCATCGATCCTCTCTATTAGTGTCCAACTGGGATTGTCCTTTGCTGAGTCAGGAATAATTTTTTCGAAGTTACCATTTTCCATGAATTCCAAAACTAATGCTCTAAGCTTACGACTCTCCCAAGCATAGCCGAGCACCTTAACCAAATTCTTGTGCCGCAGTTGGACCAAAATCTTGACTTCCCTGTTGAAGCATTTCTCAGAAACTTACAAGAACTGGTGTAAATTCAGTTTCTTCACGGCAATTGCCCGTCCATCTTCCAATGTACCCTTGAACACAGTGCTTATACTGCTTGCACCAATAACATTATTCTCACTGAAGAAATTTGTAGCGACCTCTAAATCCTTTGGACTAAATCTTTTGAGGGTCAATGCTGTCGTGAACTCCAGCTTTGGATTCTCAAGTTTTTCGGTTTTCTGCTTCTTGATCTTATCGTGTAAAGCTTAAATTGTCAACAGCATAATAATAAAGATAAATACACAACCAAGTGCTGAAAAGATGAACAATGTCTTCTTTCCGAGATGAAACTTTTCAGATTATTCCTGGTGCTACACGACTTGAAAATTTCTGTTCCACAAAGAGCTGGATTTCCTCGTAAACTAGTTGAAAATGTTTTACCAAATACACCAGCTTCATGAACATGGCCTTCAAGCAGATTGAAAGAGTATTGAGAAATTTCAAACTGAAAATATTGTCCAAGCTTTTGGGAATGATGCCCTCAAACTTGCTTTGGGACAGATCAAGGGACGAAAGATGCCTTGGACTTGCCAAATTTTCAGGAAGTGCACCATTCAACTGATTCCTGGAAAGGTTCAGGTTCACAAGTTCACTAAGTAGAGGAAAAATTTCGTGGGGAACTTGGCTAGAGAGATTGTTCCCTGAAAGATCTAGGGAGATCAAATTTCTGCAGCCCTTTAGTGCTCTGGGAATGCTTCCAGACAAATTATTGTTTGACAAGCCAGTAACTTTTACCATTTTCAACATGATAATCTCGTCTGGGATTGTCTTGTCCATGAAATTGTATGAGAGATTAAGGGAGATTTGCAAATTCTTCACACTTGCAATCAGTGACCCTGGAACAGATCCATCAATATTGTTAAGCCGTGCTAAACTATTTGGCATTGTCCCGTTAAGCTTGTTTCCGCTGAGATCCAAGTAAGACAATGATTCAAGTTTGGAAATAGCACGTGCAATTGGACCAACAAATTTATTGTTCTGTAACTGGGGATCAGTAAGTTGTTTGAGCTCAGACAGATTTTCTGGGATTAATCCTTCTAGCTCATTGCCATTCAGTGCAAGGGGCTGGAGGAGTTTAAGTTTTGAAAGTTCTGGACGATCTGGACCTGAGAATCTGTTTCTGTGAATCACCAAATCTATCAGTTGACTTAGATTACCGATCTCACTTGGGATTGGCCCGAATAATGAATTATCACGTTAGCGCAGAATTCTGAGACTCACCAGTCTGCCAATGTTTGCGTTGAGGGTACCTCTAAAGTTGTTTTGGCTTAGGTCTAGTAGTTCAAGCTTTGAGCAGTTGAAGAGGTCATCAGGTATGTTACCTGAGAATTTATTGTTCCCTAAGGATAAATACCTAAGATTCAACAATTGCCCCAATTCCTCAGGTATTTTTCCAGTAAATCTATTACTCGTCAAAGTTATCACAAGAAGACATGTACAATTGATAATACTAGATGGAATGCATCCCTCGAGGAGATTTTCATTCAAGGTTAAATTCTTCAAGTTGTACAAGAATCCAGTATCTTTTGGAAGTGGCCCTGTCAGTGAATTGAAGCCTATGGACAAATATGTCAAGTTCCACAAGTTTGTAATCGTTGAAGGTTCTCATTGGTGAACCTATTTGAATGGAGAGTCAGCACTTCCAGTGTACTCAAAGAGCCGATTTCAGAAGGTATATTACCAACCAACGCATTCCGGGAGAGTCCCAAATGAGTTAAAGAGATTTCATCTTAAACAATGAAAGTGGAATTGTGGTGTTCAACTTGTTATTGTACAGCCTCAAGGCCTCTAAGTTGACCAAATTTCCCAGTTCCAGGGGGGATGCCACCGGCGAACTGATTGCTATATATGTTGAGCAAGGTTAACTTCGTACAATAGCCAAGTTCAGAAGGGATTTTTCCAGAATGAAAGTTGAAATGCAATTGAAGCATTTCCAAATTTGACATATTTCCAATTTGAGGAATTTTTCCAGATGGTCAGTTGTTACTTAAATCTAGAGCTTGTAATGACTTCAATTTACCAATAGAAGAAGGTATGGAACCTTCCGAATTGTTATGAGATTGTTGTATATGAGGCCGAGTTGTAATAAATCCGTGCAGTTGCACAAGCTATCAGGGTTGCTTCCATTCAAGAAATTGATTCCAAAGTCTATTGTCTGCAAATTTTTCAGAATTCCGAGTTCTGCTGGAATAGAACTGGTAAGATAGTTCTGATAAAGGACTAATAGAGTAAGCTGTTTGCATGATCCCAATTCAGGTGGGCTTTTTCCTGAGAAAAAATTCAGAGTTAGATCAAGAACCTGAAGGCTGGAAAGGTTCCCTAGAAGTGGAGATATTTCACCCATTGGTGATTGAGTTTTTGAATGCTTTTAAAGCTTCCACCTCAACTTTCAAGTCCATTTCTGCAGAAAGAATCCCAAATAGGCAAGTGAAACATATGAAAACTGCGAATGCAACTCTTCGAAACACCATTGCTTCTATAGACACAATCGATATTGCATATATAGCTTCAGTATGGATTTTCACATAGGTTTAGCAGAAATATATAATGTCCATTACTATATCTCTATCAACAGGGAAGACATACGAACAAAGCACTGCAATAATGACTTTTAGTTGGATAGTAAAAAAGCGCTAAAAGTGAATTATATAGAAAAACAGAACTATACAATCATGATTTTAATTCATTTCTCTTTCTTAACACCAACTACGGCCAATGTATCTTGCCGAAATATTCGTGAAAGTCCACAAAATCAACTTGCTAGTCCACAGCCTCCACCAAAATAGATTGTAACCTATTATGAATGTGTAAAAAATCCTCTAGCCCATCTACCGTATTAAGACAATCTAAATGTTCCCAGGTCCAAAATAAGTCTCAAATTTACAAAGGAGTCACGTGGATATGTATGTAGGAAAATAAATAAATTTTAGACCAGCAATAAAGACTTTGATTTAACTCGGAAAGGGCACCTTCATGGCTGTATATGGTCAACTTGAAGATTAAGGTAAAAATAAGTACTGTGTGCCCCAAAAGCGGTTTGCATATAGCCCTTCCAGATCTGTCTGTAAATGCAAATTGGCAGAAAATGTCAAATGGATTGGATGGATATTTTGATGATTCTTGGGTGGTGGCATTTCATTGAAATCAGCCCCATTCTGATGGATATCCTCTAGAAGCGCCCCCATATCCCACACGGGTGTTTGGTTTATTCAAGACAAAGCCCATCTCTCCGAAGAGTTGCTTGTCACAGAAAATGATTGTAAAGTCGAAAAAAATTTAATGGGAATCCAGACACAAACTAGTATAGAACGCCGATTGTATGCATATTCTCTTTTAATCTGTGCTGATAGCTCGTTTTCATATTTAAGAGTTCATTTGCCACAATTCTGAAGCTCGAGAAAATAAGAGAGAGCCTTGCGACTTTCAGTTTCGCATGCTTCTCGTGTCAAAAATAGATTATCTTCTGTTGCTTTCCATAATTCCATCCATCTATTTAACAAAATCATGGTTTTGCAAATGAAACAAATCCCTTTTGAATCATAAGGATTAAAAATTCTCTTAAATTTTATTTTATTTTATTTTATATTTTTTTTAATTTTTGGTCCATGAACGTGTAGGTTAAAATCATAGTTTCTAGCAAGGGTAATGTATGTAAAATTTTGAAAGAAAATGTAAATAATAAGGCAATATAAAGTAAAAGATTATTACATTGCCCTTAATTGACAAAGTTTTTGAGATTACAAAAGCTAATGGATCCCACAGAATCTGATAAAAATAATGAATTCAATAAAATATATATTTAAAAAATAAAGTCGGACCAATTTATCAAACGGGCAGAATAGCATCCTATTAACCATAGTGGACATCTAATCCAGCATCACATATGCAACGAAAAATAAGATACATATGCGTGTATGCGTGTAAAAGAAAAAAGGACACAAAGCAGGGAAAGAAAACACTCAGAATCACTCATCTATTGTTATAATGTTTAACATAATAATGGAACAAACAAGTAAGAAACAGGTCATAGTACAGAGACGGAAACAGATTAAGCCCAATACAAATTAACTATCGTCCATAATACCTGGGACCATTTTACATTCATTCTGTTCACATACGTAGAAAACCCTCGAAGCCAGAATGTCTGCGGGAAACTAAGCATTATTAGACTTCTAACACAACCAGATGTGTAGATACAAGATATCCCAGGCTTTACGAAACTAACTGATCTGGTGACTAAAACGAATGCATTCTTCATTGCTGAAGGGAATATGTTGCTCAAGCATATTTTGTCGAATTTCCAGCTCCCATCTCCTGCACTTCAACCCTGAGAGACTTCAGGTACTTAACAGCTTCATCAAGAACAGCTACAGTGCTCATCCGGTTGGCACCACGAAGCCAGAATGTCTGCGGGAAACTAAGCATTATTAGACTTCTAACACAACCAGATGTGTAGATACAAGATATCCCAGGCTTTGTTAGGGTACATCAACTCAGAGTTCATGGCTTTACGAAACTAACTGATCTGGTGACTAAAACGATTGCATTCTTCATTGCTGCAGGGAATATGTTGCTCAAGCATATTTTGTCAAATTTCCAGCTCCCATCTCCTGCACTTCAACCCTGAGAGACTTCAGGTACTTAACAGCTTCATCAAGAACAGCTACAGTGCTCATCCGGTTGGCACCGGGAACAATACCTCCTAATGCCTTCACCATTTTCCTCATTTTCTGACGTTTCATGTCATTAGAAGACTTCTCAGAAGGAGGTGACCTCCTCTTTCTAGACACAGATTCATAATTAGAACATGAATCTGAGGAATCGCTCTCATAATTTGCATCCATTCGTGCTGTGCTCACCTCATCATCTTCGTATTCTTCAGTTTCATCATATTCTGTGCTCAATAGAGCATCGATATCATCAGAATCTTCTTTAAAAGAAGTTATTTCTTCGTCTTCTTTCTTATCCTTCCAACCAACGTTGTCTAGGCAGTTAGACACACCAACCCCACCAAAATCAGGATGAAGAAACTTAGAATCAATCTCGGGATGGAACGTGATTTGGCTTCTGTTATTCGTTTGGTCAAAGATTATAAAATTCCTCGGGCATGCCTCAGAGGTCTGAAAGTCAACACCATGTAAGGGCCTAGAAGGTTTTATACCTGAGGGCAGAATTGTTCCACCAAAGATGGATGCAATAGGGGTCTTGCTCTTGTAGCAACCACCCACTTGATCAGGAAGAGGAAGGATGGGATTTTGAGGGAAATACTTCCGGTCACTATGCATTTGGAACAGTTAACAACTTCACTGATATACAAGTCTGCAGCTTTCAAAAGGGTTCTCTTCGATTTCAAATTGGACGAAAGTTTTACGGTAATAAATTAAGTAAAAAATATGTTTGTGGTACAACTAAGTTGTATCCATCATCGTGAAAGAGAGCTATCTGGTTCGTTCAATAGTTTTTGCGTTCAATGCTAATTCGAAAAATTTCAACACAACCAATACCAAAGGAGAAGGCCACCAATCCCAGTCTTACAAGGTGATTACCAAACAAGACTACGTAACAGGTTTAAGCAACTGACGGAAATATTCAGCCTGTAAGCAAAAGATATTCATAAGCTAGCTTATCAAATAATATCTTGAAATTAATAAACCCCATGAAAATGAAAATTTTAAAATAAAAAAACCCCAAAAAAAAAAAAAAAAAAAATTTCCCCCCAAAAACCAAAAAAAAAAAAAAAAAAAAAAAAGTAACATAATAGAAACAAAATTTTCATAAAAATAATTACTTATTAATTTGATCCCAAACTGAGATTAAAGCACAACAAAATAACTGCAAACAGGCAGCACACTTACCTGGCGAACTTGCATCAATTGGTAGAAAGCAATAGCTCCAACATTCATCTTAAATTTTCCAACTTCCTTTACTTTACGATGTTTCCTTTGGGTAACTGCAATGTACATTCTCACTACTCCAACCAAAATTAAGTAGATCACTATAGAAGTAAATAGAAATTTCACCACTGGAAAAGACACCTGCAAAATATTCCCACATTAGAATTGTTATTGACAGGTGAAAAGGGTAAAAAATCATATAATTTAAATTATCAACCTCCAGATTTGGCAACAAATCATAGAAGTTAACAAAAAACAACGTTCAGATTATATTAGAACACGCTATATCCTAACTTTAAATCTTGCACAAACTTCAGTGTTTATCTAAATCAATTTAACACACTGCCCCTTTTTTTTTTATTGAAGTACCCCTTTGTGTGATGTTGAACATTTGAACCAAATTTCAATATATATATATATATAATGGGCACCGGTAGCACCTGTGACAAGCACTGGTGACATAGCACATAAATTAATTGGTGAATCATTAAATTCATGGGACCTATCATTATCATATTCACCAATCAATTGTTGTGGATCATTTCCCATATATATCGGGAGACTTAGGCATAACAATGGGTGCATGACATCTCGGTGTCTACCTCTCGATACAATGGATAGTGTATTATAAACATGTGAATTTTTTCAATAGAGTATTCATACTAACTGAGAGCTGAGAAAGAGTGAAAGGAACGAGGAAGGAATCTCACCAAATGAAATCAAATTACACAATAACCCAAAAGAATGCGACCAATCGCACACACTTTCCACAATAACGAGACGCCCAAGACATGTTTATCTACTTCTTCAGCCCAGATTGCAGATTCAACACAAACCTATTCTGAAGTGAAACAATTGGAACCACGTATTAACATAGGCACAAAAAAAAAAAATCAACAACCAAATGGCTAGCCTTTAAAAAAGACAAGAAAGAATAAGTACACTTCAGAAAATCCTTAAGAATAAGCTAATTCTTAAGGCAACTTCAAAACAAATTTAAGTACAATAAAGAAAGTTGAAAGGAACGAGGAAGGAATCTCACCAAATGAAATCAAATTACACAATAACCCAAAAGAATGCGACCAATCGCACACACTTTCCGCAATAACGAGACGCCCAAGACATGTTTATCTACTTCTTCAGCCCAGATTGCAGATTCAACACAAACCTATTCTGAAGTGAAACAATTGGAACCACGTATTAACATAGGCACAAAGGAAGATCAACAACCAAATGGCTAGCCTTTAAAAAAGACAAGAAAGAATAAGTACACTTCAGAAAATCCTTAAGAATAAGCTAATTCTTAAGGCAACTTCAAAACAAATTTAAGTACAATAAAAAAAGTCGAAAACCAAGAAAAGCAGGGAATAAAAATTTTAATATTACTTCACAAAGATATTGAGTAAAAAACAATGTCTAAATTGTGAATATAGAAAAGACATACGTACCAGAAAATCGAAGGCAAAACCCATAAAAAAAGAACCAATATTCACAGATCAACCATCGTATATATTAAATAAATTCTAATCTTTCTCTTCAACAACAAACTAAAATAACCCTCATATATAAATACACCAATACAGATATAAATATGTGTAATGTTCATACTCATCAAAGATTCATAATTTGTTATACCCCCGACTCTCAAAGACAATAGACACATAAAAATTTCCGCATATAGAAAATTCTACAGCAAAGGCAGTAAAAGAGTGAGATTTGTGAATACCCGTGGAAAAAAAAAAGGCAGAAGAAGAATACAATAAAATCACATATAAAAAGCAAATCTCTCTCCAAGAACGAAATAAATAACCTCCATGTATAAATACCCATAACAACGGCATAATATTCATATTTATCCAAGATCCCTCAATTTGTACACGCATGTTCAAAAATAAAATCATGTTCATAAAGCAAATTTTCCAAGAAACTAATAAAAACAGTATAAGAGTGAAATTTGAGGATACCCAAAAGAAAAAAACTGAAGAATTAACCAAGAGGGCTCTTGCGATAAGCTTCAAGATTAGGAAGAACTTTTCTTTGCTTGAAAAATAAAGCAAACACGAGTGTGCGTTAAAGAATGGTTATGGGAGAGTGAATTTAACGCAGGAACAGCGTGGGAGAATATAGGGAAATGTGAGGGGGAGTCAAAGGAGGGGAATTAGAACCGTTGGATTGGGGAAAGAAGGACACTTTCCGTGTAATCCGGATGGGGTTTCGGCCCTTGGATCATAGAGCACGCGTGAAGAAAAAAGGTATGTTTGACAAAATGCGTATCTACTATTGGAAATCGAAATCTCTCGGGTAAATGCACTTTTCAGAATTTTATTTATTTTACTACTTTGTTACCTCTTTTCAGTTAAAAATTCCAATCCTGTTTAATAATGATATTATCCAGTTCATTAATTATTTTACTACTTTGTTACCGCTTTTCAGTTAAAATTTCAATTCTGTTTAATAATGATATTATCCAGTTTATTAATTATTTTAATACTTTGTTACTGCTTTTCAGTTAAAATTCCAATTCTGTTTAATAATGATATCATCCAGATTACAAATTATTTCTTATTAATTACATTAATTAATAAATAAATATATTATCGAAAAATTGTACCATCTATTCCAATTTTTTTAAGTGCTGAATCTCATACGTAACGTAGGAGAAAATCAAATAATTTTCAAGAAATGAGTTTTTACCCTTTACTGTTATGGTGAAAAACATGGTAAAAATATGAAGTTCTAGATCAATCACATTCACATGCTTTGATAATCTATTTGAATGATATCTTCACTAGACTGTCATTTTTAAAAAAATAAATGATCCATCACGCGTACATAAATTCTACCTTGTGATAATGTGCATTTATTAAAAGTCAATGACCTACCTAACCAGTTGTTGCAAAGCTAGCTAGTACTACTACACTACTCAACTAAATTATAAACTAAGCAACGCAATGTGTGCGATACAATAATAATTTATTCGTGACCTTAATAAATTTAGATTTCCATTCCTTAATCACAAAAATGAAAAATATGATCGTTATCATTACATCAAGTCATCATATTTGACTTTCTATATCATGTGTGAATTCTATAACGACTATATTTTTCATTCTTATTCTTAAAAAAAAATGAAAATCAAACGGGACCTTAGTATGCTTTTAATCAAATTTCTGTCTCGCTCAAGTAAATTG